GTTCTATTATAACGTGACATATGTGTTCCTAAGTATCACTGTTATGCAGATTACATACTGTATACTGAACTATGCAAATGCATGCAATAAAAGCCACGGGTCTCGTAGAAAAGGTGGAGTTGGGGTACATCACTCACAAACTTAATAAGGGAGCTTCCCTGGTGGCGCAGTGGTTGAGAGTCCACCTGCTGATGATGCAAGGGACATGGGTTTGTGCCCCGGTCTGGGAAGATCCCACATGCTGTGGAGCGGCTGGGCCCGTGAGCCATGGCCACTGGGCCTGTGCGTCCGGAGCCTGTGTTCTGCAATGGGAGAGGCCACAACAGTGAGAGGCCTGCATACCGAAAAAACCAAAAAACTTAATAAAGGACATTGAAAAAAAGATAGGAACCTAATCTAAATAGTATCCGTTTTACACATTTTAGGACACATTTGTAACACTTTACCTTTAAAAGAAGGTGAAGTTTGCTATGGACATGATCATAGGAAAGGTTGTAGCCTGTGGATTAGTGTGATGTGGTAGAATCTGAAATTGGATATAAGGGTGTAGCACCAGATATGAATAGTTGTGGCTCATAACAGGAGGAAAGCTGAGGTAGCTGGTACATATTTGAAGTACATGCATGTGTGTATTGTGTGTATTCCTAAGCAGTTTGGTTCAGCTGCGGTGCAGTTTTCTGTGTTCATCTAGCATTTTTCACTGTTGAAATCTTGTTTAAGAAAATGCGAAATTTTTGTTGTGCTCCGATTGTTCCTTAATGTATTAATGGTGTTGCAGCAAATTCTTGTGTTCTAAACAAGAGCTGTAACAGAACTGATGGTATTTTTATGGCTATGTAATGTGCCACTGTATCACTAAACCACAGTTTATTTGCCATTTGTAATTTGCAGATATATTTGCATAGCTATAAAATTGTATGAGAAGACATGGTGACAGTTAATTACTGGTAAAACTCTAGATTGATAAACATATTTGATGATATCAAGACACTAGGACTGATAATCATACACAAATGTTACTAGGCAGCATAACTATGAAAATTCACTCACTCACTAGATTAAAATAAGTTTTCTAAGAAAATCTGAAGCCAGTGGGGCATGCATTATCTGTTGTAGCTGGGGGTGAAAATGGTTTTTTTACCCTGATGTTCAGACTCTCAGTTAATCAGTTGTACTCATATTTATATATCTTTACAAATAATCCACATTTAAAGGTTTGTGTACATGAGATTTGTATCAAAAATATAATGTCTTCCAACCTTAGTGATACTTTTGAAGGTGTAGAAAGGTCACCATATATAACTTGGAGGGCACAGTCCCTTGCAGGATGGTTTCAATCAAATGTCTAAAATTATTTTGACTTCAGCTTACTGTTTAAATACTTTGGAGGTTTTGGTTTTTTGTTTGTTTGTTTTTTGCAGGGGGGAGGAGTGCACGGGTAAAGCTTGAACGTTCAAAGTTAGAGTGGTAGTACCCACTTTTCTCTTCTTTGTTTTCCTTCCACTTACTATGCCAGGGATTTGAATTATGATATTAATTAATAAGCTCCCTCTTATATCCTAAAATTGTGAGTTTTAAGAGGAATCAAATACATCTAATATCTTGAATGCATTGGAAAATGGGGATTGCTGTTCAACGGGCTTTTGGTTATTAGCTTTTAGATTTTTTACTCTGTTGTTTGTCTTGAAATTATTTGCCATATTTTCAGTGAATGGTCCCTCCCATATTAGCCTCTGGTGTACTCCACAGCTCACGTAAGCTGCCAGAAGACAGAGGTTCTTTTTGTTTCAGTAGTCTATACTAGACACAGAGCCAAACACAATAGATACGAGGTAGCAGAGTTTCCCTGTGACTCAGAGGTGAAAACAGAAGAATGATTTAACTTGGCACAGACAGTTACTTAGATTGTATGAATTTGCTAATCTTTGTTTTTGATTTGTAAAGTGTTCCTTGTGAAGGAAGAGGCTATTGATGTGCCCAGCACCATATTTATTGCAATAGGGAGGAAATTAAGTAGCTCAAGAACAGAAAACTATTTTGTAGGTTCTGATAAAGCAAGTAATTAAGGTTTCAGATTGAAAGTAGCTTTGATCAAAAGTTGAATTCTGTGACACAGTAGAACCTTGGTGTTTATATGTATAAATCAGTGTTTTCTGTCTTCTGCAGTTTGTAGGTTCTTTGTTATAGCTTTTGCTCTTGCCAGTGGGGTCTGAGCACTGCTTACCCTGAGCAGATGAGGAGTTTGCTCAGAAAATCCAGGATGGTAAATTATAACAAGATTATCAAACAAATATCTTGTGTGTGATATCTTCTACATATATGAGAAATAAGTTAGGAACAGTATTTAATTCACTTTGTTTGACAGAATGTTCTGACATGTTTGCAAGACAAGTCTCTAAGGTCATTTTTTCTATGTGAAATGCACATTAGTTTGTGACATCAGCTCCATAAAGTACCTGGCGTATCCAGATAATATGCCGCCTGAGGCATGTGTATCAGGAGGAGCTTTGTTTTCCTTCTAGCAGGTGCTTTCAGGGATTACTGCTTTCTGACTCCAGGAATTGGCTCCATGGTAGTATCTTCTAGATTACACTAGAGCTGTGGTTCCTGGACCTGAGTGTCAGCACCACCTGGGAACTTGCAAGGAATGCAAACTCTAAGGCTCCAGCCCAGACCTTCTGAATCAGAAACTGTTTATATACTGTTTTTATATACACTACACTGTATTCCACTTTTCCTTTATTTGAGATGCACATTGAAAATGTATAGAAACATTGAAAGAGTTGTAAAACATATCCATTGTAGACTTTTTTCTTGTACCTAAAAAGGATTTTGGAAAAACTGCATCAAATATTGGAGTTAGGGCACTTAAATTCACTACTGCCATGCCACTTTGACAAAACAAGCTATGGAAATGAGTCAGATAACCACTGGAATTATTTTTTAATTGATCTGATCAAATTTCCAGTTATTTCGACCCATCTGAGATTTGGTCAAATTAAGTTTGATACTCATAATAGGACCATTTAGAAAGACAGTGGCAGTTCTCTAGAAGTTTCATGAGCAATATAGAATTGCAGAACTAGAAGCAACCTCCAGTCTCGAGCTTTGTTCCAGGAAGGATTAGGAGTTGGGATTGTTTAGTTTGGAAAAGAGAAATAGGGTCACTATAAGGGACATAAAATATTTGTACTATTGGAAGAAATAAGAATAGCAACTTTTTGTTTTGTTTTAATTTAGGCAGACAGGTGAGATAGGTATTTTTTTAAGGCCCAATGTAAAGGAAGAACTTTCTAGCAATTAAGAGATATCAAAATACGTAATGGCCTTTCTCTCAGTTGTAAATATCTCATCACCAAGAGGTGAAAGCCAAGGTGAGATGATTCATTGGGGATGCTACAGAATGGTAGACAAAAGTGTTAATATTCTGCCATTCTACATATAATCCACAGGGAAAAGGAACTCAAGAGTTACTATCTTCATAGTCTAATATAGACCCAACACATGTGATGAAAAACACCTGGTACTTTCCTCAGCCAGCAGTGACAACTTGATGCAGGAAACAGAATCTGTAGGTGATAATCCATTGTCCGAATGCTGACTCGCACAAATAAAACCAAATGCCATTAGGACGAAAAGAGGGGATAGGGCTCTCCTCTTAACTATGAGAGGAGGAGAAAAGAGGAGAAAAAGAAAAGACATCGAAATAGATTAAAAGTCTAGTTACTAAAGGAATTTTCTTCCACATGTGGAATAAGTAACCAAGAACAGGAATAGGGGCCTGCCCTTTTTATTTCATTTTCAAGTTTATAAGAAGACATTTTACATCTCTCCAATTTTGGACCTCTTAGGGTCTTCGGAAAATCATTTTCTGAGCAGTTGTAAAGAACTGGCAACGACATAACACTGATTTTAAGCACTCCAAATGCAGGAAACAGGACTAGAGTAACACAAAGCCAAAAGTCAGGTTTTAGCCAGCCCCAGGGAAGCCACACGTCTTCAGGAAGTGAGGCTGCTCAAAATACAGTGTATTTACTTTGCTGCGGCGCCTAGCTCTCATCCTAGTCCTTGAGCTCTGATTGACTTCTTTTTTCTTCGTACCCTGCATCAAGGGATCCGTGAGGGTGGAGGGGCAGAGGAGGGGCAGTGTGCAAAGGTAGCTGGAAGTCCTCCCCGACACTCTGAACATGGTTCAGAGCAATCTTAGAAGCCAAAGCAGTCATAACAGTGTAATTTTCATAACTGCCATTTCTTGGACACCTTTATATACCAGATGCTGTACTGGGTACTGGGTATTCTTCATGAACTTATGTAGACCATCTCTCAATAGATTTAAATAGGTTTCCATGAGATTTGAACTCTATAGACACCATGTATAATGGATGGGTGCTCTAACCGATAAAGACCTCACAGCTTGTAGGCCTCCTGTCAGCTTTTGAGAGTCCAGCCAGGCTTCATCTTAGATAAAATTGTGAGTAGTCATGGCAAATATCAGGCCTTTACTCCCTGCTTCCCCACCTCTGGTTTAGAGTAATTATCTAGTATTCATTTGTTAATGACTAGGTTACCTATCTTGACAATTCTCTTTAAGAGTTGAAGCTCTGTCAACTTCCTGTCCCCTTGCAGGTGTCTGTTCCTGTCTGGAGGTGCACCCTCTTAGTATCCTCCAGTTTACCTGTTCTCTAACTCTCAAGCCAAATAAAACAAAAATATGTGATCTACTCCACAGCGTTCTTGTTGACAGCAAGTCTGCCATGGGAAGCTTTATTCCTGAGTGAAGGAATTGCACCAAAATCATCTCCATGTTGACTGTCTGCGAACCCGTGCTGCTAAGTGCTTATCCTCCCATGTTGTTTGGTTTGGGCTAAGGATCCATAACTTTGGCATTTTCGCTATCAAATAATGTATTTCAAATCCCAGTGTTCTCCTGTTGTATTAAGATTTTTTTCATTTATCTGACTAGCTGTCTTGTAGTGATATAAAATTTCTTTATCCCCTAGGGAAAAGTTAACCATCGGATGCCGCCAACTGGTTGAGATGGAACGTACCATGCAACAGTGCAATGCCTCCGTCTATATGGAGGCCAAAAACAGGGGATGGTGTGAAGACATGCTCAACTATAGAACCTAAGTGCTGATTTTGTAACTTAGAAGGAACTGCATCTGTCTTCAGGAACAACAGAGTAGCTTTCAACCTTTTGTGCCAAACCCGGGAGACTTGCAAGAAATGTCTTAAGAAATGTCTCAAATGTCAATGTCTCATAAGTACAAAAAGATGATTGCCTATTACTGACAATCTCACTGAGGTTCTAATGTGTCCATTGTGGGATAAACTGTGAACTCAACTCGTCTGAAGTTGACTTTACCTCCCTACCTCTACTCCTAATACTGAGCCAGTGTGTCTAAGGAAAGGAGAGCCATCTTTTTGGTCATCTTAGGGCAAGAGCCACTGCGGCATCTGAGGAAGGCCCAGGACACAGTGTTAGCATCTGTCTCAACAATAAATGTGGGTATGTGACCACAGACGTTTCCAAACCTCAAGAAAGAATTAGGACATGACCATGCTCACCACATTCCACAAGAGAAATCTTACCCTGGGCTGTTTTATGATCAGACTGTCTTCCATGTAGACACAATACGTAATACGTATCCCTTCTACTTCCCCCAAGGTAAGGGAAGTAGAATTTTGACTTTGGCTCCAACTTGCTACAGTAGCCTCTTTTCTTCCCTGGCCTTGTCACTTCTCAGTGCATTTCTCATGGGATAAACAGGGAGACCCCTCTGCTCAGTGTCCTCTTAAATGTGAAACAGCATGGATTCATCAGGTAGCAGTGGCTGATGTTTGCCCCTGGCTAAACCAAGTGTTTAACTGACTTCTTTAGTTATAAATCCCATCTATGGAAATCCTTGTTTACTAAAGTATATTATGCTTTTGTTAATACATTAGATTAAATCTAATTTGGTATTCTATTATAAATGTTATTTTTTTTAAAAAGCAATGAATTATTTTTAGTGATTTTTTCATTTTACTTCCAAATTTTGTTTCTGAACTGCATACAGGTATGATTATAAAAGTGAACCTCCAATGAAAGAGAACTATGCAGGATGCCCACTAGCAGGAAGAAGGATCCGATGAGCTTTGTTTGCTTAGAAAGCCACACCTCCTCCTGGGGCTCAAAGTACCCTCAGGGATATGAGCCTGGGTAGAAGGAGAAGCTTCCAGAGCACCTCTGCTGTCTGCCTCTTTCCTTTTCCATCCCCTCCCCCTACCAAAGATTTCTTCAGACTTTTATCCCTCAGCTGCTTCTAGTTGTTATTGAGTTTTGCCCTGCTTTGTTTTTGTTGCTGTTGTTGTTTTGGTCGCAGCTTGCAGGATCTTAGTTCCCTGACTAGGGATTGAACCGTGGGCCACTGCAGTGAAAGAACAGAGTCCTAACCCCTGGGCCGCCAGGGAATTCCCTGCTGTGCTTCATTACCTCCCTTTTTCTCTCTTACCTTTTTAATATGTTATACTTTTTAGGAAATTTCTTTTCACTCCTATCATCTGAATACTTCTACGTATTTCACCCTATGCATGTGGATTTTAATTTTATCCTAATCTATGTGTCTTTCACTTTGTGCTTTAATTTGTCAATTTTCAACCTTTTTTAAATTTTATTTTATTTATTTATTTTTTTTTTGCGGTACGCGGGCCTCTCACTGTTGCGGCCTCTCCCGTTATGGAGCACAGGCTCCAGACGCGCAGGCTCAGCGGCCATGGCTCACGGGCCCAGCCGCTCCGCGGCATGTGGGATCCTCCCAGACCAGGGCACAAACCTGCATCCCCTGCATCGGCAGGCGGACTCTCAACCACTGCGCCACCAGGGAAGCCCTAAATATTTATTTTGATATGTGAAAATGTTTTAACTTTCTAGTCTTATTTTTATCTTTAGAAGACATTCTTTAAAATTTTTTTAGTGTTTGTTTCTTTGAAATGTAAGGGTTTTGGGGGGTTTTTTTCTTCTTTTTGTTGCCTTTTCTTAAACTTTATACTTTTTTTCTAACAGTACAGTGTGGGAGTTGAGGTATCCCTTTCCTCCCATCCCCTGCTCTTTCTTTTCTGGGTTTCCCCTCTGGATTGCAGTAACTCAGTTGACATAAGGATCCTAAGCCCCACCTTGATAATTTTGTTTTCATGGGAAATTATCATATCTTTAGAACTCCAGGTTTTAAAATCGCCATTCAGTATACATAGCTATTATATTTTGGGCAGAAGCTTCATAAGCATGCCGTGAACCAGAAGGGACTGATGGGAAAAGTCACATGAGGGCAAGGGCTCTCTACATAAAGTCTTTCCTTAGTGAGGAGCTGGTGATAACTTCCTGAGAAGCATCCCTGAGGATTTTGACAGCAAAGTTCCTGGAACCATTTTACTCTAGCCTTTTCCAGCTTACTTCCACAAGATAGTCCATTTCCCTCTGGAAAGGACCGGGGAGGGTCCTCTGGCTTGGCCAGGCCACAGCTCTTCCAGCATTCTGAGCCAAAGAAAAGTTGGCTAAAGACTTAGAGTCTGTTGTACCCTACTGGGTCCTCCTGTTAGGACCTGCAGTGGGCAGTTGGGACTGCACAGATTGGAACTTCATAGATGGGTTAATTTCACTTTCCTATCATTGTCTTTGCCTGTCTTATGAAAGACAGGGGACACAAGACAAACCTGAAACTTTATTTCCTTGATCTTTTGGCCATCATCTTAAAACAGAAGTCCTTTCACCCTTTCAGGGTTGATCCACAATTATTTAGTGTCGTGGTCTCCCTTAAGAACCTAGCTTTTATTGTTCATACTCCTGATGTGACATCTCCCCACACCCACCTATCTATCGGAGCCTTTTAGCTCCCTACCGTGTGAGTTGGGATGAAGTTACCTTTATCTTCTTAGAGGGAATATACCTCACTATTGAATAATGAAATGCATCCTCCACTTAGGAAGTGCTGCCACCCTTTTTCTGATTTAGATTGAACTGACTGGACTGACCAGTCTCCCTCCCAGTTGGTGGCTCTTTAAGCTATTTTGCCAACAAACAACAAAAAACCCCACTCCAGTGAAAATAAGCAACTCCATGAGCTTGAGCAGAATTTACAGCTATGAACCTATAAGGTAAGGCAATAAGACACTCAAATCTCAGCTACCAACATGGCTCAGTGCTCCTAACTACAAACCAAATTCAATATCCTAGACTTCGCAGCTCTTATTGTAGACTAATGGTTATTGCTGAACTACATTAACTCAGTACATAACCCTTGCATGGCCAGTGGGGATGAACGGTTCCCTGATGTGATTTCCAGTCAGGTAAAATATTGACATGTCCTAGACTTTTTTAAAAAGGCTTTTCCCTTTAAAGGTTTGGTTAAGCTAGAAAGACAAAACTCAAGTGTAAAACTAGTTTTGAGTTTTGTCAAACACAATCACATAATCACCAGCACACTCAAGTAATGAGTTCCATTGCTCCTCAGAATTCCCTTGTGCCCCTTTGTAGCCAACTCCCATCCCCATCTCAGGAAGCCATTGATGTGTCTGCTATCCATGTAGCTCTTTTCCAGTATGCTATGCAAATGGAGGCTTTTGAAGCTGGCTTTTCACTTAGCATGATGCTTCTGAGGATCCATCCCTGTTGTTTTATCAATAAATACTTCACTGTTTTTATTCCTGAGTAGTATTCCATTTTATTCAGGTACCCTTCCATTCATTCACCAGTTGGAAGGATATTTGAATTTTCAGTTTTTGGTGATTATGAATAAAGCTGCTATATTCATACACAGGTTTCTTTAAGAACATGTTTTCATTTCACTTGGATAAATACCTAGGAATGGGATTACTGTCATAGGATATTTAACTTTATAAAAAACTGTCAAACTTTTTCCAAACTGACCTTACAATTTTGTAATTCCTCCAGCAATTTGAGAGCTCCAGTTGTAATTTTCCTTTTTACATTTTCCTAATGATCTATGACAGTAAGCATGTTTTCATGTTATTATTAGACTCCATTTATCTTCTTTGGTGGAGTGTCTTGTTCTAAACCTTTTGCCCATTTGAAAACTGGATGAGAGAGCTCTGGATGCAAATCCCTTATCAGATGTTTTCTTTCAAGCCTGTATCTTGCAAGGATTTGGCATCACTTTTGGTTGATAGAGACAGAACACTTGCATAATGCAGAAGGTAGATCTTACTATCATGATTTGAGAGTAGCCTTAATGGAAAGCTGGCCCTGTTAATTATTGATTGGATGACCACCATTACATTTGATAGATGCCTTCAAACTTGGCAACTCTTATTTTTTTTTTTTTTTTTTTTTTTTTGCGGTACGTGGGCCTCTCACTGTTGTGGCTTCTCCCGTTGCGGAGCACAGGCTCTGGACGCGCAGGCTCAGCGGCCATGGCTCACGGGCCCAGCTGCTCTGCGGCATGTGGGATCTTCCCGGGCCGCGGCACGAACCCATGTACCGCGCATCGGCAGGCGGACTCTCAAGCACTGCGCCACCAGGGAAGACCCAGCAACTCTTATTCTTAACTTGCAGGACAGTTCAGTTCATCTCTTAAGTTTCAGTCTCTCGCTCACTGAAGTTTGGTATTCTGTGTGCCTTTTTCCAGGCTAAAATTGTATTAGTCCTGTTGTTCTCTCTGAGCAAATATCTTGTATTTCCACAAGATACCAACTCTGTATATACTCAGCTTAATAACTGAGCTTTTGCTTCTCACCCTTATTCAAACCCCCAATTGAGCTCCTAACAGTGAAGCCTAAGTACTTTATTGGCCATTGTGCTAGTAAGTTAAAGAACCCATGATATGCACTTGAGTACATCCCTCTCTTTACGTACTCTACTTATTGCTCAATGTATCATCATTTTTAAGACTCTTAAGAAACTTCTGGTCTTATTAAGAAAACTGATGCTTCACAGCAATTGCTTTTTAACCTTCAGATAATTTATTTAATAGATCTCCTGTTAACAGGACCAAATTTGTGGCTTGGCCTTACTATTTGAGATTGATATATTGATTCATATGTTGGCATTTTCTCCTCTTTTTTCACTCAGTTAATTTACCCTGTATCTTAAGTCTCAATGAGAGACTCTTCAAATCCTTTTTTTTTTTTTTTTGCTGTACGCGGGCCTCTCACTGTCGTGGCCTCTCCTGTCATGGAGCACTAGCTCCGGACGCACAGCCCCAGCAGTCATGGCTCAAGGGCCCAGCCGCTCCGCGGCACGTGGGATCCTCCTGGACCAGGGCATGAACCTGCGTCCCCTGCATCGGCAGACAGACTCCCAACCACTGCGCCACCAGGGAAGCCCCAAATCCTTTTTTGAAACAAAGTAGGGTACAAAAAATTGACTGATAAATACTACAGAGACCGTGTTTTCTGTGACTCATAGTCTTCTAAAGGCAACTCTGGAATTACAGTAATGTCCTAGAGGGACTTTTTCCTTTGCCTACTTCAGTTTTAAGTTAAGAATTCTGAGATCTGGAGGGATTATAGGGTGTACACCTAATATACTAAGCACTAATTATATTCCCAAATCCAGGTCTTTTCCTAAAATATGATTATGTAAGGAATTCTAAAACACTGAAAATGGTAAAGTATTTAAGACATACTAGAAGCCAAAAATCAAAACCCTATCCATCCTTGAAAATCACAATAAAAATTTATTGTGATTTATGCTGGAGTATAATCAATTGTTTTGTTAATTCAAACAGGTATTTTATAGTTTTGCTACTCTTTTAGGTATTTAGTATGTTTTGTGCATTATTACTATTGATTGCAAGATTATTACCAATATCATTTCTAAACTATTACAAAACCCATACTGGTTTAAAAAGAAAATAATTTATGCTGAGGCTATGCCATTTTCTCCTTCCCTCAAAAAAAAAAAATTACCTTTTAAATGTGGATAAACAGAACTGTTCACTGAGCACTATTTTTTTCTTTATGAAACCTTCTTATATTCAAAACATACTTAAAGAACATAATTTTGGCTACCAAACTACCTGTTTGGCATCAATGGTAATATAGGTAAACTCTGACCCAAAGTATTCCCACATATTATTGCATTAAGCATGTTACATAGGAATTGAGAAGTGATTTCAAGGATTTTACACTGACTCCCCCCACTAAAATTTTATTTCCTTGTGCTAAATAAATAGAACATATACAGATCTATTTTAAAAATATTCATCATATTAGGCAAATTCAAATCTGCCAACCCAGTTTTAGCCCAGAACCAAACCAATGATAGGAACTACACAGCCACCAGGCAAACTGATTTCCTTTCTTGTTGGTTCTCTGTGGGGATAGATGAGTGAAATAAGGTGTCAAAGACCCAGCGGAACATTTGTAAAAAAAATACCTAATTTTCTTCTCACCCAGGTTAGCCAGTGGATAGTCATGTTGTCCCAGTTGGCTCATTAGATTCCTGTTTGCCTCTTTGTCTTCCCAGAGAAAACAAAACCAAAAAACCCCCTTTACATCAGTCCTTATTTCAGATATAAGATGCCAGTTAACTATTTTCCCACAAATACCTTAAGCTCATTTTTACTGGAAAAAAAAATTTCCCCCAAAAACTTTTAGTAATGAATGAGTACACAACAACATTTGGATAGTAATCCCATGGTGCAAGGATTTCCTGCAAAGTACCTTTAATATGTTTGCATCAGCAGCAAGCATTAGGATGTTCTAATTTTGGCACCGTAAGTTATATGTGTAGCATTACACATTAGATACCAAGTCACCACCCCAACCAGTATTTATCCATATGAATAGGAAAACTGAACAAAAACATAGTTCTGATAAAGGCTGCATTCATAAACCCAATACAGTTTAAGGTATTTTTTTTTTTTTTTACAATCAAGGGCTGCCATTTAGGATTTTTTTTAATGATAAATAAAAAATAGGAATTATTTAGAAGATAAAATACTTCACTGTTCTTTACTGTTATTAATATAATATTGAGTGTTTTGCTATATAAAATATACTCCCAAGAAGTCAAAGTATTTAAAAACAGTGTTATCAAATAAAAATCACAGCCATGTTACTGTTCAGCAACTCCATTCCAATAAACATTGGTATTGCATTCTCAAAAAAAAAAAAAAAAAAATTGTAGCTGAGGCAAGAGCTCTCTGAAGCTTGCATTCTGGGCGTGTAAAACACCTCACTGCATACTTTTAAGACTGTCACTCTGCTTCAGTAATTTGAACCTGCCACATTTTACTTCAACAAGTAAAGCACTCTGCTGAGAATACAAAAATTTATAAAAAGGCCATCATAAAAGATTAAACCTCAGTAGGCATGTAAGCTTTTTTTTAATAAAAACAAAAAGTCATTGTCATCTAGTTAAATAAGTCTCTTTGTTATAGAATGTTCCAGTTATTGAAAAAGGGACCTTAAAAAACCCAACTGCCTATATCTTAAAACCCTACCTCTCTTGCCCCATAATACACACATTTGAGGGAAGAGTCATTTAATGTGCAAATTGGCAAACAAATGTGGAGGAGGGGACTTCTTGAAATGATGTGCCCAATCAATTCTTGGTTTATTCTTTTACAATATCAACTTCCAAAAAACTAAAATAACGAAAGTAGCCCTAAAAATACACAAAACAGACCTTCATCTTTGCATTCCTTTCCCAATAAACACAAAAAGTATGTACAGCGTGTTTAATAATATGCAATATGCAAAAGCTTTGTGTTGCTGTTAGCAACATCTATACCCACCCACCCTCCTTATTCACAAGTGTACCTCTACCTAACACAATTACATCACTAAGCCTGTTAGTTTGAAAGGGTCTTCAATTTGTTAAAACTGGAAAATCTTGGTATAGGGGCTCCACTCATTTGACTCAAGGTTATAGACTTCCACCGTATTCAGAAACTCATTGCCATCAAATCCTCCCACTGCATAAATAGTGTTCCCTACAGTTGCAATCCCAGCATTGCTCCTTGGTGAAGTCATGTTTCCCATCATCTTCCATTCATTTCTAATTGGATCATACATCTCCACACAACTGATGGCATGAGAACCATCAAAGCCACCACCTACAAACAGTTTTCCTAAAAGAGAAAAGAGACAAGGTTAATCTAGAGAGGCTAAGAAAGAAACCCTTAAATTGATCTTTTGCTAAAACAGTGGTTCTTGGTAGAAAAGCCTGTTCATTCTGTCAGAAAGTATTTATCGAATGCCTACTAATGTGGCAAGCACTCCCTAGAAGCTGAGGATACAAATGGAATAGAGTTGAAAAGAACCCATTTATATGTGTAAGTCAGGCAATTTAAAGGAAGGGGAGGCACCATCTAACTACAGTGCAATTCTCACAACAATTCTATGTGGTTGTTTCTATTACTGCCATTTCACAGATGAAGATATAATAAACAAAGAAGGACAACTTGCCTAGAGATGCAACTAGTAAGTGGCAAACCAGAGTAGTTCTGTGCACTGGAAGTTTTGTTATTAGTCCAGTGCATAACAACTAAGATTCAAAGTAAGTTATAGGAAAGCAGGTTTCATATAACTGAACATTTTCTAGAGCTCTCCAACTATATAAAATGATTTTGGCATGGAAATTTCTTCTTGGAAACAGACTGAACTATGACTATTTTCAAATATACATGCAGGGCAGTTAATAGTTAAATTATTTTCAGACAAATAAAATGTTAGCATTAAATATTCTCTGGAGCTTAAGGAAAAATCTTATTAGTGATTCTCGAATTCATTATTTTCTCATCTGATTGTCACTTAGCCTACCTGCATCCATGTACTTACCCATAAAAGAACCGGCAAGGCTCATAGTAGGCCAGGGGTTGCAGGCCAGTAGGCTACTTACTGGTGTGCCTACACACTTAGGCTCTTGCCAGTTGAGCCACAAGCTTTGTTCTAAAAACAATTCTAACTGAACTCATTACTGTAATTATGTAATTAAACATTATGTAAATCCATAAAATGGATGTGAAAACCGTGTCTACATATGATGATTTGCAAACACTTGTTAAAAATAATCTAAAAATATTGCTTCCAATTAGGCATGGAGTAGACAATTAGAAAAGACTAGATTTAGAGGATTTCCATTTCTTTTGTTTTACAAATCAAAATTTTTAAAATTCTTGCTCTAAAGAAACAAACTCAAATTCCAAGATGATGCATTATGAGTATGATTTATGGAAGAAGATGAATTAATATGTTATATATCCAGTACTGAGTGATTAGAAAAGACATTTCTAAAAGACAAACCACCAATCCCCACTGCGTCAGAAAAGAAGGCTAGTTCTGAATTCTTAATTATACAAGTGGATAGTTATCACTGACGTTCTCTTGGAATTTTAGAACAAACTCTTGCTACTACCTACTCCTCAGCTCTCCAAATCCCAACACTCACCGCCGAGAACAGCCACTCCAGCTCCTCGCCTAGCCACATTCATGGATGCAATTAAAGTCCAGGTGTTATTTTCAGGATTATAACGTTCTACTGTGTTCAGACAATTCCAAGACTCTGCGCCTCCAATTATGTACAAATAACCACCAAGCTCACAGACTGCAGACTGGTGTCTACCTATAAAATCAAGTCAAACCAAAATTATTATTCTACCTCCCCAAACTATAAGTGTGCACTACACATACCCTTGATTCAGAGGTCTTTAAAAAAAAAAAGAAAAAAAACAATTAAAAAAAAAAATCAACTTACGAATGTTAAGAGGAGCACAGCTTGTCCATGACTTTGTTATAGGATCAAATACATCACAATTTTTCAGTCCTTTTTGACCATATGGATCTGAGCCACCAACGATGTATAATTTCCCATTCAGAGCACACACTCCTATATGAGTATAAAATAAGGTTATAAATTGATAACTTAATTATCATACTTAAATAGTGATGATCTCAGCAGAAAAGTATTACCTGCATTACAACGATTAGTTCTCAATTCTGGAATAGGAGTCCAGTCATCTATGTTTGGATCATACATCTCTCCACATCTCAGGTCATCTGAGTGGCCATTTGATCCACCCACCACATAGAGCTGGCCCTATGCCAAAAGCGAGAGATTAGTATTTCCACCATTCTCAAGTTTTTAGAAAAAGCTAAATGTGGGCTGCTTCTTCCTGCAATATAATGCACTTACCATGAGTACGGCCATTTGAAATCGGGCTCTTGGTGTCCTCATGGGAGCAAGAAAGGACCAATGATCTGTATGTGGATCATAGCACTCAACTGTTCGAAGACACTCCTCTCTGTTATAGCCACCTGGTACAAGAACCACAAAGAGTTATGTTTAAAGTATTAAACTGGACCAGCCTTTCTGGTCTAGAATGGTTTAAGTAATCTGTACAAATGAGAAAAAGAATCTTTGTCCACACACTTAATAAGGCCACATTAGTTAATGTTTTAACTAAGTGCCTGTAACAGCTGAATGACAAAATTATGAGTGTAAGTAAATTGCTTAGTCTTGACTTGAAAATTAGGAGGGAACAATTACCCACGTCATAGGTTTTTAACAATTAGAGAAAGACATTACTTGAAGGCTAGGCAATACTATAGTATTGACTTTTTATTTCTGTCTTCTTAGAATGTGGTAAAGTGGAATGCCACAGAAGGCATATTAAATAAACCCTGTCTTCCAAAGTTTGCATGTCACAAGCAAGCATAAACGTCCACTTATAGAGGCTTAGCCAGTTGAAGGTTTCTTGTAAGTCACTCATCCTTCTATTCTTACCTGCAGCTATGAGTTTGCCATTCATCTCTGCTGTCCCCAGACCAGATCGTGCATACTGCATAGGAGACATGGGCTTTTCTATTAACTCATCTGGTTGCATCTCAAAGCTTAAACTTTTAATGAGTTTTGGAGTACTTGTTGGTGAGCTCTGTGGGCTGTTTCGCCCATGAAGGAAAATGACACAGAAAATACCATCCAGCACAGCCAGGCACAAGTAAGTGTTATCTGTAAGCACAAGAGTTCCATGTTTAAAGATGCAATTTTTATTAGTTTTGGTTGCTGTGTGATCCTGAATTGGACTCCAGATTCCAGACAGGGGATGACCTGCTACTCTTTCCAAATTTAGTTGCTTCTGAGTTTTTTCCTCAATCACTTTAGAAGTATTATATGGTTCCACTTAAAACTCCTTCTTAAAAAAGAAATAAATTGAAGGCAATCTGACAAGTGTAATACACTTACTTGAAGTCTTTTCCGAAGCAACGATTTTCCACTCGTGCTTAGGGCTTTGTATTGTAGCATTTGGAGAAGACAGACATCCAATGGAACTGCTACTTATCTGCTTATGGCCATTCTCACGTGGTGGCTTTTTCTGCAAAATCAAAAGGCAGCTACAGAAACCTAGCCAAAGACCATACCTGGTGTACCTTTGCTCCTGAGCTATTCCACAACACTGAGAAAACCCTCAGTACCCTCCACTTATGCATGACATTTATAGCACACTTAGGTTTAACACAAAACAACACTTTCTGACTGACACACATCACTGGCATTCTTCCATCTCCACTTAATAAGGAAACAACTACACCTACCCTGGTCAAGAAAAAGTTCAAGTTCAACAATTAAAAAAACATGTTGTAGGTCAAGTATCAGAATAGTCAAGAGAGGAAAAAGCGGAACCTCCTCCTTCATAATCCACATAGTCTTTATATTAAGTATAGAATCTTCCAAAATGTTATAAATCTAAAACAGCATGAATTAACTGAGAGAATACATTTAACCCACTATCTCCATGAAACTGTGAAACTTAACTAAATCATATGTACTGGTATCCTTCATATTAGCAGACATATATCCATCCAATCTCTCTGAGTTATTTTACAGGAAAAAAAAGTGGCAATTACAAGAAATATTTACAAGTATATTTCTTTAGGATTACCTTAAAGGTATTATAGAGTGGTTTTCGAGACAAGTAAAACTACATCAAAACACAGAAGTAAAAATGGTAATCAGAAATTAATGAAGCAATAATACTAAAAGAACCAAATATTTTTAAAGGAATACATGAGAACATAAAAGAGGGAGAAATGGGCAAAGCTGCAAATTTTCAAATGACTGTAAGAAGATTACATTGTACCCTCGTGTATGAGTTCTCTTTGATGGTTTTCTTCCAATTACTTTAGCTCTTGACACTTCCAAAGGATATGATCACATGTCATTAGAAGAGTCAAGATTACCCTGGTAGGAACTGCCTGCTGAATGAATAGGTACCACCTTCAGTACCTGGCCAAGTTTGCTCATCCACTTATTTTGATCCCCAGGGCCACAGCCTCATGGGTAGACAGAATCTCTAATGGAAATTTGTTTCGAGTGGAAGAAAAAGGCCATGAAACAAGAGAGAAAAAGATTTTGGTAGCTACTTGAAGCTGTGAAAAAACTATCAAGTTTGGTGTAAGCAATTCAGCAAATGTGGTTATAGCTTAAGTAGGCTATTTTGAGGAAAGGCAGAGAATGTACCATGCTAATGGTTATAATTACATTCCATTTAGACATTCATTATGTACCTAGGTGTTATTAGGCACTTTATTCACACAGTCACTTTTAATCCAGTAAGGGCAATATATCTCTCCATTTTATAGGTAAAAATACTGAAAATAAGACAGAAAATATGCATTGCCTAAGGCAATGCAAGAAAAATAAGGATTAGGAATTCTGAGTATAAAGCCACTCTTTTATACTATGATAGTCTGGTGTGTCCTGTGCTACTAGGAATTACAAGGTACATAAAACCCTATCCCAATCTGTGGGAAGAAGGGATCCAAAGTAACACAAGTTGATGATACTTGATTAAGAGCTTTCACTGTAGTAAGAAAACTGTTCTAATGTATGGCTTTAATTGAGAGAAAATCAAATGTGAAAAAAAAGCACAGTAACAATGAAGACTACTTGGTGTTTTGTAACTAACCAGCCTTAATGCTGGTTAACTCTTTTATGTTCCTTCCACTTTCAAACCTAATTCTTTACTCTCCTTTATTTTCAAACTTTACCCTATCAACTCCTCCCACTCAGCCCACCCACTGGCCCACACTTTCTTTGCCTCTGACCTCCCCAAGGCGTGGTCCCTGGTAGCTCTTTCTCAGCCACCATCATTTCTGAAGCTAAGCGTTTCTTAACCTTAATACTCTCTGGAAATTATACCCACTAAAGGTTACAAAGTGGCTTCCTAAAACCAATGTAGAAGAGATATCCCTAATCTTCTTTTACATGACCTCCCAGAGGATGATTTGACACAGTTAACAATCCAGTCCTCCTTCAAACTTTCTTCTCCTATGTTAGCTAGCTTGTACAACACAATTTGATTCCAATGGCGACTTCTCAACTTTTTCTCTTCCTGAAGCTTAGTGTGTTTCCTCATCCTTTTTACTTCATCATCTCTATTCATGGCACTTCCCTGGAATAAGTCACACAGGTCAGAGTCCTACTCACCCTCAAATTCTTCGTTTCCTTAATTTTCCTAATCTAAACAATCACTAAAGACCTTTGTAACTATAAATGTCTAGAGTCCACCCTTTCCCCTTCTCGTCCTTAGATCAAGCCCTCATCTTTTCACTTGAACTACTGCTTGTAATAGTCTACAAATTGGTCTCACAAGCTTTTATCTACCCTCTGTACCTGGTCATAAAAATAGAAGGGTTCGATGCATTTAGTAAAGTAAAACAAACAAACAAACAAAAAAAACCCTCAAATGAGCTAGAATCCCACGACCCAGAGACTGCCACCTGATAGTTAACTATCTGTCTAAAATATGATAATGAACATATAGATCTCTGCTGTATGGAAATACCATAATTTAACCAATCCCCCTATTGCTAGACTCTTGTCCAGTTTTTCACTATTATTAAAGTTGTGAAATATATCTGTTCAGATCACTCTACTCCCTTGTCTAAAATTCTTTGAAAGTCCCACACTACTTGTAGAATAAAGTATAATCCCCGATCAGATGTTATTTACCTACTCTCATAGTCATGTGACCTGCAATTCCAACAGTATCCTCCTTTCACAGGTATCCTTTGCTATCTGACACACCTCTATCTGCTATGCAAACTCTTCCACATCCTCAGATGGCTCAAATGTTGCCTCCTTTGTGAAATTTCCCTAGTTTTTCTCCTTTTGGTTCCACCCTCCCCTTAATGTCTTCGGTAGGTAATTCATATAAATCTGTTCTGTTTTACCTACTCCTGTAAGGTCCCGGAAGCAGAAACTGTCTCTTACACATTTTTGGGCCCTCTTACCTAACATCACGGCCTGCCACTTATCAGGCACTCAACCACTCACTGCTTGTTGAAAGAGTACTTTAAAAAACCATTAAATTACAGTTTAGAGATGTTTAGAGATAAGAGGGAAAATATCCTCAGTGTTCAAAATGCACAAACATGAACAAAATTCTCAACTAACTCAGCCCCAAAAGCTTTTTGTGAAAATAAAAATATTCAGCCAGTATTGACACAGAACACCTGATAGTATCACCATACACATTATTTGAGTCTATCATTTACCTTCTAATTATTAAAGGAAAACACCCATTAACTTGGGTCGACTCAGCCTACTTTATAGTTATCCCTCACAAATACAATGTTGAGCTAAAGGCCAAACAAAAAGAATACATATTGTATAACCATTTACATAAATTTCAAACACAGACAAACTAATCTAATGCTTCAGAAGTTGGGATATAATGGCTTCCTTTGGGGTAGTGTAGGGCAGTGACTGGGAAGGGGGCAAGAGGAAGGCTTCCAGAATGCTAGAAGTCTCTTCTTGACCCAGGTAGTGTTTAAACCAGTGGGTTCACTCTGTGACATTTATGATTTGTATTCTTTACAAATTCTTTATTTATCCATAAACTGAAAAAGTTTATACCTGAGATTTTTTTTTAAAAACTGGGTCTAACAGTCAGCCCCATTACAAACAACTATTTTTTATAATCTGACCAAAATAACAATTTCTATTTTGCTTCATCTTATTGGCCCTTTTTCTTACTACTTATAAATCCTATTTGATTGAGAAAAAAATCTTAAGTGGGGTTTCCTACTTTGTTCTGTTAGTTTCTTTTTATGTGGCAAAAATGGTAGTAATGGTATGAAAGGTATGCTTGTTTTCTCCCACAAGTGTTTCTGTGCAGTCATACCAATGAAGGTCTTCCACTTTCCTTTATTAAAGGAAAATTTCAGTATACTATAAAATGCTCTAATCAAATTTTAACCTGAGGTTACCTCAGATGTGCAATGTGTACCTGCACAAACTGAATGTGGTCATCATCACTGCCAAACACCTCAGCCTGTCCAGCTAGTAGGTTCCCATCAAGCAGCTTGTGATCAGCTGAGTAGTACAAGGTTTGAACCTGCAAAACAGCAACAGAACACCCATGTGGCTACTGTCTCCATGGCTACTCCACTAGTATGCAGATCACACAAACGCCTCAAGGTAACCTCCAGTGTGCTTCTTGAGCTTCTTGACATCTTACTCTGGCAGGATCCCAAAGTAAAGAAAATACATGTCATGGTGGTAAAAATTTAAAAAATAAAAATAAGATACAGAATCTTCTAATACTGGCTGAAGAGTCCTTGGCTTGGTTGGCTTGAAAGAAATCTTCATTTTTTCATCGGTTCTATGATACAGCATTAAGAAAAAAAGGCACTAGTACAATATATAGGCTCTTAAAGAATATACATATTTATAATAAAATACTGAATATGGTTTACACCTTTGAAGAGTAAGTGGTCTAATGTGCATAAACATATTTCCGTCCTGCACAAGCAATGTCAAGAAAAACAGATAAAAAACAAGTGCAAAAATTCAAGCAAGCTACAGAGACACACCTCCCTTAACAGATGCAAACATATGGCTAATGCATCTGATTTTCAAGTGGGAAACCATATAGAATTTAAAAATCACCTGTTAGCCTTTTTAGAGCGTAATGATAACTGTATTTTTAAAGGCCTAACAGGTTTGGTAAGCCTTTAGTGAATCTGAAAGGCTTAAGTGGAGGGATAAACTCAAGGTCACTCCACTGTTCCATCTGCATGTTTAATTCCCACCATTTCTCCGTCAATTTTTTCTTGTGTATTTTTCAAAAAGTAGCCCAAGTTAAGTGAGTGATTATATGTATGAACAACACCATTGAAAAACACAAAGCTTTAAAGATAAGAATCCTGTAAAGGAGTAAACACCATTAAATCATCATCGTTCTCTGCCCACAGCGGATTTTTCTTAGGAGAACTGGGGCAGGACTGCTGCTTCTTTACGTGTCAATACACTTGAGGATTCTTCTTGTTTCTTCAGTCTTGGGTATCCTAGTTTTGTTAATAAACCTATGGGGAGATAAATCAATGGGGAGGAACAACCATTAGAAGCTTTTACCTACTTGTCAATTTAAAGCAAAAACCTGTGAAGAAAAATTAAGAATCTACAGAAAATTTCAGTACCACCTCCCATTTCTAAAGCAAATTACATGCTACTTTAAAGAAAGTTAACAGCACATAATAAGCAAAGAAATAAAAAAAGAAAAGCAGAAGACCAAACTGAACAGTTCATTCAGCTCACCTGGACACCCCCCCTGTTTCTCAGCTTAGGGGTACCTATAGCAAAATTTAAATTCTTTAGGGTCATGGTTATAAAATAAAAGTGAAAGGGAATCCTTCATGTTATAGCAAAATAATTTTTAAGAATTGTTGAATCCCATTTACTTTAAAACTAACCTCTTCCATCAGCTCTTCCAGACTGTCTCCATTCTCCCAGATGCTACGCTGCACCCAGTTGATTACCTTTGTGTACAATTTGCCATTGCTGGGCAAGCAAACATTATCTTCAAGCATTACCTCCAACTAGAGTTGGGAAAAAACAAAGACACATGGATCAGTGCTGAGCCTCTAATTCTCAATTTCATAATTAAGAGGTCATAGATGCCCAACTGCACTCCATACGCTTACTCTCATTTTTAAGGAAACCAGTAGCCAAAAAAGAGAAGAAAAAGAAAAGAAAGTAAACAAACTGGTAGGCAGAAAACCATTACACTGCTAAAAATAACCGTATGGTTTCAATGTATTGTCTTTTTCATAAACATTACTCACTTGCTTGAAACATGGAGAAAGATTACATTCCTGGAACTAAGTAGTATGTATCTCTTTATTTAACCTTTACATCTTTCATCTTTATAGATTTTACCTTTAGCCGTGGAAGTTTAAGAAACTCTTCCTCTTCTGAAATTTGTAACAAATGCTCCTGAATATAAGCATCAACCTTATTCAACAAACGGGAGTCTCCCATACAACTTGCAAAATTTCGGTAAGAGATGCAGCTGGTAATATCCATTCTAGATAGTAAATAATCACCACAAACCTTGGAAAAGAAATACACGAGTGCCAACATTTACATACATTTTATTTAACAAATATTTAATACTCAGTGTGTAAGTACTATGTGAATATATAAAGATTAACCCAAAATCACTGCCTTACAACAAGTTTAACAGTAGGAAGAATACATGTATACAAACAATAAACATCAAAGAATGCCACTCAAATATATAAGAAAAAATGAAACAAACTGAAATGCTATGAAAATGCACATGAAATGTTCGGACAAGTATTTCCAACTAGAATGATAGATAAGGCTTCATAAAGGCAGTAATCTGAATGGGGCTCTACAGGGGAGATGACGCTGAATGCACACAGAAACTACGGAAGATGCTGCAACAATTTAGTTTGCCCAGAACAAAAGACAGTCAGAAAATAGTTTTGGAAGAATAGCAACTATATTAAGGAGAGCCTGGAATTCTAACCGGAGGGAATTCCTCCGGCTATGACCACAAAAGGATTTTTAAGCAGAGTAAGGGGCTTAGCAAACTTCTTCTCAAAGGGCCAGACAGTAAGTTTTTAGGCTTGTGGGCCGTACTTTCTCACAACTACTCAACTCTGTCACAGCAGGTGGAAAGCAGCCATAGACCGTATGTAAATGAAGGCTATGTTACAATAAGATGTTATAAAAGCAGGCAGCTGGCCTCAGGCCTGCAGTTTTCTGACTCCCACATTAGAGGATTAAATGCCTTTTTTCCTGTAAATTATTAAGCACTTCTCAGTGGCATGAAATTCTAGAAAGAACACTTCTAAAGAACAACCGAGAAGTGAAGAAGAACGGAGAATTAAGGATATGAGTTATATGATTAACTGAGAAAATCAAGACTTACCCTGCCAGAGGAGACTACTGAAAGAGCAAGATTGTAGCTTGAATTATCTGAGAGAAGTCTGACCCTGCTGTGTTACATTGGCTAAACAGTTAAAATTACATACATATTCAGTTCTCTAGGGGAAAAAAAGGGACATTTTCAAGTTCTTGAGTCCAACAGATGTCTTATAACAAATTGTACACACTAATCATATAAAATAAGACCCCCTAGTAACAGTACTCCTTGTATATTACTTCTGTTACTCTACCTGCTTTACTCGGTCCATCTTCAGCTTTTTTGCTGCAGAATAAACGTCTTTGACTAATTCCTTATCGGCTTTCAACCTATTAGAAAAAAGGTTCTTTATCATTTACCATACCAAGGCCTTGAAACACAGATACTTAATTTAAATAAATTTAGAGGGACTTGGAATTTCATTCCCTAGTTATATGATGTACTTCAGAGAACTTACTGAGCAGTGTAGGCATAATTCAACAAGACTTCAACAGCTTCCGGATTGAGATCATCAAACTTAACATGAGAAACTCGGTGAGGATCACTATCATTATTAAAGATTTCAAATAAATAGGGGCTGCAGCAAGCCAGGACTGCTCTGTGTGCTAACATCTCATGGCCACAGACCTGCAAAGTGAGGAATTAACATTAGAAGTATTGTGGACTATGTATTTCTCTAGCTAATTACTACATCGTATCCTTCATCTTACATTTCTGGGTAAATCATTCTTTTTTAAACTTTTTTCATTAAATGCCTCCTGTGAAAAACAAAACAAGCCAATCCAAGAACATATGGTTTTTAGTAATGAAAGATCAATTCTGTAAGTTTTCAATTACATTTTAAATACCTGAAGTCGAACATCACAGAACTGGCCACTTTTCCTCAGGGCATTTAATTTGGCAACAGAAGACTCAATGAAATTTTCGTCTTCAAACATTAAATATCCATTGGGAATCATTTTTCCTTATAATTTGGCTAAAGGGCAGAAAGAAAGAAAGAATGGTGATTTTTATAACATTTTAAAGAGTAATGCAGTATTTTTAATTTTCAAATTTCATCCTATCAACAACACATACAAATTTTATCGTACAAAAACACTGTTAAAACACCACTGGCACTGAACTTAGTCTAAGCCTTTGTACCCCTATACTTTGGTCCTAAGTCTTTTCAAGGATTCATACAGTAGTGTCATGGTGCCCCAGCAATTTTGGCCAGGTTTCTATTCCTATTAGTACACTCATTGTGAAGGGGGAAAAAAATGTAAACCCAGCCCTGCCCAAACCCATATAACAAGCAACTGAAAAGCCTGGAAGGATGTGAAGTGGTCAGCACATATAGATTCCTTGGTTGGGGCTGCAGTCATTCCTTTACTCACTGATATATATGACTAACTTACATTCTGTTCCCTTTGTTCTACTCAATATTCTGTGATAACCTATGTGAGAAAAGAAGCTAAAAAAGAATCAATATATGTATAACTGTATATGTATATGTATAACTGAATCACTTTGCTGTACACCTGAAACTAACACAACATTGTAAATCAACTATACACCAATAAAATAAAAATATTTTAAAAATTCTGTTCCCTTTGCAGGTTTCATATATTTTAAATCACTTATCTCATAAACATACAAGACAGAAATGTATGTTCTTTAAAAAATTTTCCATTTCACCATTTCTTGTGAACAAGTGACTAATGGCTACACAAAATGCATCATTAAAAAGTGGTAATAGAAGATTTCAGTTTGAAGTAACTGATTTATTTAAATTCAAAATAGTTTATAGAAAGGAAAATATAGGGAAAAATTTTTTTCTATGAATATTACTGACTTCGCCTTTTAAAACAATTATGAAAGGCTGTTAGTGTACTTGGCACAGTCTTCAGAAAAAAAAAAAATGTGTGCACTGGGCGCTGACTATCCACTTACCTACTATACTGGTGAGAAATGTATTTTCCAGGGTGTTTTAAATAATCAAGGACAAAGGAAACTCAGCGCTTTGTTGAGGTATGAAGACAGGTGGCTGAAGTGAAGGCAGAGGTGTCTGAAGCTCTAATGGTGATTCCAAAACTATCAGGCTTGAAAATGATGTAATCAAGTCCTTTAAAGCTATAGACACGAACTTCTTCTGTGATAATCATGCATCATAATCTGTAATAATGACAATTGTTGGATATTCAGAATGATCAAAGACTGCCAATGATCTAGGTAGATCAGATCATGCAAAGTCCTGATCTTGAAGACATTTTGAGGTAAATGGCACAATACAGAAAATAACACGAATGCAACTATACATAAGCATTTTCATTTAACCTGCAACCACTCAGGTGATTAAAAAAAATAAAATCCCTCCCCAGAAGGAACTAGTAACTTTTACCATTTAAGTGAGATACACAAGCACAAAATTAGAGGAAAATATAAATATTGGTTAATTCTAATATTCTTTACTATTAGATTCCAACTAATATACAAACATGTGTTCTGTCTGTGTTACCAGCCAGCAAGCAACCATCCTTATTCCCCGACATGTATACAATGTTACAGTCAAACCAGATATACTGTTTCCCAAAATGTGCTCTGTAGGTGCCCACCTCTGTAACTTCAAGTTTCCTTTTCTTGGAATACCCTTAACCCAACCTCTGCCCGCTGAAATCTTACCTCCAGAGCCCCTGCCAAATCCCTTCAGCTGAGTAGTTCCTCCCCATCCTCCAAATACTGAACCCTCTCTGAAAGTGTGTACGTGTGATCTTCCAGCTGGTCTGTTCTGGCTTATCTTCCTTGATTCAAGGCCTCTTGAAGGCAGAGCCTCTGTTTTCTTTATCTTTGTATCCTTCCCATCTCCCCCCACCAAAACAACTAGCCTAGAAACCTGAATATAAAGATGAGTAATTTGTTGAAATGAACTAAATAAACAAAAAGGAAAATATTAATGTCTGTGCTTTGTATGATTATTTTTCTCATATGCAGTAATAAACTACCAATGGAACAATTCTGGTTCAAATCAAATCTTCAGGGAAATCACATTCAGTCCTCCCCCCATTATCACATGTCATTAACTAAAAGTGTCAAAGTGAGATGGTACTTATTTTTTAATCATCTGAACTGCTATTACACCACTAATTCAGCAAACCAGAACTAAATAAGAAATTATTTGAAAGATGTGCATACTTTTTAAAATGGACATCTTCAAATTACCTGTATTTTCTTTATATATCAATCAAGCCCACAATTCTAAATCTAACAATTATGATAATGTGAATGGTCCCTTACCCCAGAACCCACTTGAAGGCTAGTCCAGTTCCATTTCAACAAACTATTGTATTAAGTGCAACACATGCACAATCTGTATTCCGTATGCCTTCACTGGTTTCTCCACAGCTTAGGTTTTATTTCAAGGAAACCTGAGTATTCTGACTCAGGTTGGAACTGTTGTCAATGCTTTATTCCTGCAATGAAAGTATTTCATACCTTTATGTAATATTGATTTCCTCTGCTCTACACTTGCATCCAGATTATTTAATTCAGCTTTTCTTAAGAAACCAGTTCTAACAAAACAAATGTTTTCCAAGTAACACACAATTCTATGGACAGAGAGAACACACTATCCAAAAGAAACCTTCAAACATTTTCAGCCAAGACCTAGCTCAAGTTGGGAAAATCTATGCAAGGGTGAACGGGGGGGACCCCTCCATGCAAGTTATGTTGGATATGATTAAAATGTATGCCCTCTGAAAAACCAAAAACAAAGGGAGATTTATAAGTATTTTAAACTTTGACCAGTTTTATTCAATATTTATTTGTAAACTAGCCTTGATCTTACCAAGAATAAAAATGGTGCCTATAAATATATAGACATACCTCGTTTTACTGCACTTCACTTTTCTGCTTCACAAATACTACCTTTTTTTTTCAAATTGAAGGTCTGTGGCAACCCTGAGTTGCCAGCTGATGGTCAGCATTTTTTAGCAATAAAGTATTTTGAAATTAAGGTATGTATGTTATTTTTAAAGACATAATGTTTTGGACACTTAACAGACTCCAGTAGAGTGTAAACATAACTTTTATGTGCACTGAGAAACCAAAAAATTGGCGTGACTCGCTTTACCACAGTGGCCCAGAACCAAACTCACAGTATCTCTGTGGGTGTATGTGATAAATTGAAAGTTCTACCTTAAATTTATTTTGGAAAACAACAAGAACAACAAAAACCTGGATGGTTAAAATCACTTCAGCCCTTTGGGAGAAAATACTGGAGAATTTTTGGAGCAACTCTTGCCATACAAATTTGTACAACATTATTAGTTCTGCAATAAAGTGAGTACTACTACATTAGTACTCGATGATTTTCTCGTACAGCAAGGTCTTAACATGAACCTCATCTCTTTAACATCTGCTGATCCGTATAACCCTACTTGATTTTAAAAGCTAGCCCAAGTCCACTCGACATTTAAGTTAATGCAACAAACTTTATCTAATTACCGTCCTCATATACTATATGCCCCTACTCTCACCCACACCCAAGTTGGAGGAGGTCACCTCAGCTTCTGCCTGCAAAACCATGTCTTTCAAAGTTCACATTCACTTTCACTAAAGTTAGTGTGGACAAATTGAGTTTTAAGCCATTCCAAAGAGTCACAGGTCTCAGTTTGGTCTATGAAACTCAAGCTCAATAACTGATGGAATAAAAATTTGGGGAGAATTTTTTATCTTTGAAAAGCCAAACCAAAAACCCCAACATCCCAGGCTTACATAAAATTATAAAATTTAGAATTTTATTTGAAATTTAAAAAACACATTCGACTAATCCACTTTTAAAATTAAAACTGAGATCAAATGCAATATATTCTGGTAAACAGTCATCAGTTTCTTCATATGGCCAGTGCAAGAAAAGGGATACAGATGACTTATAAATGAGTAATTAAACTGCTTTAGTAAAACCCAGAAGTTCACATGTTACCACAGCCCCCCAAAAGATCAGCTGAACCCAAATACAATTCAGTAAGCCTTATCAAGGAGCTGTAAAAAATGTAGGCACAATATGACCTGCCCCCAAATTCTTCTTGGGCCTTCAGTAAGAGCAAGATAAAATGTTATCAAACTTTCAAAGAATCCTTAAAACCTCAAGGCAAATTACAAGTATTTAAGTTTCAAGGCAATCTTCTGAGGGTAGCCGACTCACAAAATAGTAACTAACTCCATTTTTAAAGGACAGACTTTATAATACAGAGTCAATGAATCTTTTAAAAACCAGAAGTTATAGATTCCCAATGTCTGAAACGATCCATCTATATCAAAACTCGCCAAACTCACTCCATGCTTTTAACCTCATTATTCTGTAATTCTTACATCCCACAAACATTTATGGCTCCAAACATATGGCAGGCACTGTCTGGAATGGGATGCTCATAACACAATGGAGTTAACTCCATTTCCCAGCCTTGAACACTCCACCGACCAATCAGAAAGACAAACCAAGCAGTGAAAACAGTTCAAACAAAAGGGGGAAAAGGTATGAAAGCACACATATTCCAGAAACTGCAGCGATCTCTGTTTAAATAGACTGTAGTTTGCAGGATGCATATGGTAAGCAGTAGGAGAGGAAGTAAAAGAGATCAACATTAAGGTTTAAACAGAGCAGAATTTTTAGCACAGAGGTATAGGACACTAGCAGAAATATAGGGGATGGTCTGGAGGAATGGGTAAAACATGGATGCAGGGAAATTATTTATAACCCTTGCTTATCCTAACTAAGGTAATGAGGATATTTTAGAGTAGATATGTGGCATCAATATCAAAATTAGAATTCCAAAAAGCATAATAGAGACATTTTTAGTTTGCTGCATGCTTAAAGCCAGGAAGGAAAAGAGGAGTTTGCTTTGGGACATTATAAGGCTGAGGTACCTGTTGGGCATCCAGGTTGATACCAAAAGTGTAAGGATAGTGAGCGATGTATCGGTTTATAAATCATTTACAAGGCAGTAATTGAAGTTTACAAGTAAATATAATCATGTACTTTCTGTGGTTCTAACAAAAACTCAGAAATACTCCCTTATTCATTAATTCCTCCATTTACACTCTCTAGCACAAGGTAGGAGGCTCCCCAACCTTGTAGATTTGACTATACAATCATACTGTTGAAAAGTCAATGAAACGATTTTTAGGGGTATTTCATCTTAATATCAATGATTAAGACAGTTCCCCAAGAGGAAAACATTTTGCATTAAAAAAAAAAAACACAACACTTATTTGCGAAACACATTCAATTGCCACCTAAAATATCCTTCAATCAAGAAAAAACAAAACCCCACTCCAAAGTATTGGGGCGGCCAAAAAGTTCGTTCGGAGTTTTCTGTAACTTGTTACAGGAAAAACCCGTACGAACTTCTTGGCCAACCCAATAAGTAGCCAAAAAGACACTAATTTAAAACTAAAAACAAAACCTGGAACACTTTCTTTTGGGGGGAAAAGTCAGAAAAACAGACCTACAAATTAAGATAATTAAATTAATATTAACTAATGATAGCGATTTCATCTATTAGGAAAACAGAGGAAAAACCATTCTGGGTCTCCTTTAGGTCAGTGATGCTAGTCCAGTTTTACCTCTCACTACCAAACTACAGACATTTGACAAGTAGCCTGCCAGCTGTATTAAATTATAGTATTCTCAATCCAATTCTAAACAGTCAGTGTACACCTCATCTCCAGATATACAAAGAATAACTGCTCCTTCAGCATCTTTCAGACAGAAGTTTTGGCATGATTATGCCTAAAGCTACTCATCAGTATACTGTTATCCTTAAACAACCACCAGTGCTAGAATTATTAAAAGAAAATATGTCTCTGGTAGTCTAGTCCATGCTGTACTTGTTGAACTGTTTAGAGTAGTACTATGCTTACAGGGTTGTTATTTACTACTAGACAGAAGGTCACCACACGCAAGTTCTCAAAGAACAGCTTGATGCCAGGGTGTTCTAATCCTCCATGACTGACAACAGACATTAAGGAAACAAAAATAAACCCTTTAGGCCTCTGATTTCTACTTATCTAGTTTTTGAAACGTCAGCGGCCTCAAACAATAGATCTGTCTACTTTGTATTGGGGAAAAAGTAAATCTATTTCTAAAGTATTTGTGGTTCAAGTTTCCCTACGGTCGATCCTCAATCTGATACTGCCTACCTTCCTACCATCATGAGCTTACAACCAGAGGCCCTTTGCAAGATGCGCAGAAAGACGGAAAAAGAGCAAACCTCTCTGCCGATTTTCTTCGGCAAAAACAAAGTGGCGAGCGCCCCAGAGTGACTGGAGAGTCCTGCAGTCCCAGGCCTTCATCCCCGCGCGGCGGGGCGGGAGCCCACTCAGAAGGCTGGGAGGCAGAGCGCCCAGCGTCTGCACACCCCCGCCCGGGATTGGCCAGCCCCGCAGTCATTCAGCGCGACACGTCAGGGCAGCCGCTCCCTTCCTCCCTCCTCCCGCCCTCTTCTCCCCGCGCTAGGCAAGAAAAGCGGGCAACGTGGAGCGGGAACAAAGGACCCCGCGGCCCACGGCGATCAGGGGCGCGGTGCCACCGTACCCCAGGCCCGGGGTACCGATGGGGCCCTGGGCCAGCTCCCCGCCCACACTCGCCGGGTCCTGGGAAGGCTCACGGAAGAGAGTCCAGACCCCAGGCCGACCCCAACACTAGGCATCCGTTCTTGACAGCAGGAACGGAGATTCCCGCGCCCTCCTTCTGGGAGGTCATCCCTGGCCCGCGCGCGGCGTCTTGACCCAGGCCCCCGAGGACCCCTCGTGCAAAAACTTCTCGTTCCTCACGCCCTGCTTCCTCGACTCCAGCGCTCTCCGAGGCGGCCCGCGCCCGCCCTTGGCCGCTAACGCGATCCGGCAACCACAGCAGCACCGGGAGCGCGAGGGCCGCTCGGCTGCGGCTCCTCGCCCCCAGAGAGCGACGGCGGCAGTGGCCGCGGCTTGGGGCGTCCTCCTCCCGGCACCCGGCACCGCTCCGCGCCATTCCCCAGTTCGCAGTCTGGCTGCGCCCTCTTCCACCTCCACCGTCGACGGGACCAGCGCGTATTACCTGGTTCATCTCTGAAGAGATGGAAAAACTCATCTCTGGAGCTTCAAAGGGGAGCAGGAGGAAGCGGGCGGGAATCGGCCCAACGGAAAGCGTCTCGAGGCCACCGAGGATGGAGCGACCGAGCGGGGAGACGAGCGAACAGCCCGCAGAGGCTGCGAGGAAGGGGAGCGCACCGGAAATTCGCAGGGACTCGCTCGCTGGCTCGCTGGCACAGCGGCGCTGAAGCCGCAGGCGGCGAAACTGTGCCCGGCAGTTCCGAGAGACCGACCTCCACGCGCGTCCCGGAGACACTGCGCCCGCCGCAGCCGCCCGCTAGCGCCTCACCCCCTCGCACGTCACCACGTGCGCCGCTGCCGTAGCCGTCGCCAACGCCTCCCCAACGCTTCCGGCTGGAAAGCGTCGGCAAATGACTGGCGAGCACAGCAATATAGCGCTCGAGGCCCCGCCCACCGCTGGGCCCCCCCCCCCCCCCCTTCCCCCCCCCCCCCCCCCTTCGTT